GTTTTAATGGTCCTTTATTATGTCCAGACCAAAAATATTCCACACTAGCACGGGAAGCTGCATTTCTCGTGTGTATCTCGTGTCAAAATGCGTTTTTTAATGCATTCCGTATTAAAAATACGTTTTTCCCGTATGTATTCATTCTGCATCTCTGCAGTACCTATTTTGAGCATAATTTTTTATAGCCACGTTTTACAACTTTTAAAAGTGCAAATAAAAGAAATACAAGAATTCGTTAGCTTTTTTCAGAGCCTTCGGTAATTTTTTGCGTCTTTCACATTACCTCTACTCAAATTTAGAAAGACTTTAATTATTTATTTTATGTATTTAAAAAGGTTATGGCTGCGATAAAACAATTATTTTCATGATTTAAAAATTGTAATGGTAATGTCACGCCAGCAATTTTTAATTTTGGAAAAAAAATCTGGAGGGTGATGGATGGGTTTATCCAATGATGAAATAAAAAATTTTATAAATAATAAAAATTATTTTAAACAATCAAAATAACGAAATCGAAATTGTGATCAATGAATTACCTTTTTTCGCCATTATCAGCAGAAGAATATATTTCAATCGATAATGGGGTGAAAGATAATAAAATGGTAACAGAAAATGAACCTATTTCTTCATTTATTCCAGTTGAAGAAGAAACTGGCGAAAGTGGTCTAAAACTCCTACAGTTTCAATTAATACTGCTACTGATGTCTTTGAAATAGTGTATAATTTTCTTCAACAAGGTGATATTGAAATATATCACAACGAATATAAAGCTTTTAAATCATTAAAAAGAAAATTGGGATATTAAGAATTAAAAACCAAACACAAAATAGCATCACATCATTTTTCAAATAAATAATTTCCACACATTATTTTATTTTAGTAAATTTCAGATGATAAATTTTTTGTTGATCCTGATCGTCTCAACGAACTTTTGTTTATATAGTATACTGCAACGAATTTAAGTGACGTTCCTTACTAATACATCTATTGTAGCACTCTACAAAAATATAAATATAGTGATAAATACAAAGATCTACTGTCAAAGCTAATTTACTTACTACTTTTTGAAATAAAAATAACAACGACTAGAAAACAACAAAATGGAAGTGGATAATTCAATGGACATTGATGATAAATCCACATCTTCTAAATGTGCTGGAAAATACAAAGATGATGAAGAAAAAGGATGAAATTAAGTAACAATTGATTGATTAAAAATCAATTTCGAGTCTTCTTTTTAGACATTGTTGTCGTTAAAAAATCTATTTGTTAGTGAAGCAAATTTTTCAGTGAAACAGAAAAATAACCCTTTACATTTTCAAAAGGAGTTTCAATTTCAACAATTGTCATTTGTATTAAGCAATGTAATAATGAAGTCGTTTGAAAAAGCGAATTCAAGGAAACCCTCTTTTCATTAATTATTTTAAAACTAATTTAATAAACCTCCCAAAAAAAATTTTTTTAATAAAAAACGTCTTCCATTTTGTCTTGTATTGGTTGTGCTTATCAAGAGTGCGACTAGAATACAATAATAATATACAACAATTGGTTAAAAATCTACAGTTAGAATTTGGATAAAGTGTAAAAGAATAATAGTAAATATTAATCATCATCTAATTCATTTGCTGAAATCAAATGATGTGATTTATCTTGTAAATAAATCACTTCAAATGGCCAAGAAAGTTTTTGATTAAAGTTGCCATCATAATTATGCTCTCTAAAGATAGAATTGGATATGATTTCAAAATCCAGTACACTAAGTGGCAATAACATGTTTGAATTTCTAATTGACAAAATGGGCATTGAAATAATACAGGTCAACAATATTGCAAATACTAGAACAGTGACCTCTATCCAAAGTCCTGGAGCTGTTATTATTTCTTTCTTATCAACATCAACACTGACATTGTTCATGATGGATTGTATAGATGATGCCAATGATTGTGATATGATATCACCAAACTGATCAAAAAAATTGTAACTGTCATTACTCCTTTTGAATTTGATATCATTTCTCCATATTGTTAACATTGATGTCAATCTATCTACAGCACTATCAAGAAGACTTTCTCCAAACCATTTTCCATTCAGATCACTGTCTTTCACATTGGTAGAAATCAACTCTCTCAATTTTTGTATGGTGTTATTAAATTGCATCTCCAATATTTTTAGATCATCTGGTGTACTTCCAGATATTTGCATTTGTTTCCATTCCATGGTTACATTACATTGCATGGATACTATGCAAAAACGATTAAAATCTTTATCATGTGAATATCCACCATCAGATAACCACTTTGCCATCTTCATAACATTGAGAGGAAAATCGGGGGAAATATAAAACAAATTCATAGATATATCACATCTATCTGATGTACTGACTCTCAAAAACATATCATTCACATAAGAAATTAGACCAATACTTTTAGTTGTGGGAGTATGACCACTATAGCCACCAGTAAACATTCCAGTATTTGTAGGAATATCCGTCACATTCTTCAGATTATCACTACTTACTGCTCCAATTCCATCTCCTATACTTAAAACACAAGATCTTGCATTAACTTTGGCACGCACAGCATACAAAGTATTATTTAAACCCCAATAAGTGTTTTGCACATAATTTTTACGCATAATATCTTGCATTGTAGTGGAATTTGCAACCAATGCAAATTTTTCTTCAGTCAAGTCAGAAGTGCATGATGTGTAAATACAATTCGAATCATTATTAAAGAATGTAACATTAGAAGACACAATGTTGGTAAAATCATACAATCCAATAATCCCAGAGAGCATAATATTTGGTATATTTTTCCCTAATATAATTGCTAGAAATAATAGAAAGATGAATGCAATCATACCCTTGGATAATCTTTTATACCTGAGGTATAAATCCATGAAAAGCTTTAAAATAGAGCCATGTGTAGCCTCCATACACACTTTAAAATCGCTACCATTCATTTTTTGTTTAATTTGGTAAATAAATACCCAGGCCACAGAGACCAACACTGGAAGTGTTATTGCTTCAAATAGTGAAGTAAGCACTACAATCACCTTTAGCAGGCTATTAATAGAAGCAGCATTTTCACCTATCCTTAAAATATGTCTTCCTTGGTCAATAGTCTCAAGTTCCCACATGATTTTAAAATATTTATCAACCTCTCCGAAATGATTTTTAATTATCAAAAGATTAAGAGTTTTATATTATTTGCGATGTTAACTGCGGCAATGCCGGTTATAATTTAAATTTTTTGTTGGATTCAATGGTGCTGCGCCAACCAGCTAAATTTACCGAAATTACGATTAAATCTAATCCAAAACTATCAAAAATTTTCTTTAGTTTGATTGATTGATTGACTAATCGTCGAATTCTGCTAAAACCAACTTTTTTTCAGAAGCTTGGTCTTTAAATACGATCAGTGTGTCACAAGATTTCGTATAACTTTATACAAACAAATAACGTAACTTGATGACCTTTACTATTAATACCAATGCTGTGACCCGATTCTGAAACCTGGAATCTTGACGAAACCTATAAGCGAAAAGAATGATTACTAAAAAAACGAAACTGGGAAAAAACAAATAACTATATTTGGATAGGCACTTTATTATATGTTTCTTGAGGAACATTAAATGTTACTTTTTTAAATCACAATGCAAATCCACATCCTTTTAAACATACTTGAAATCAAGTGTGATGTAAAGTAGACAAATGTTTATAGTAATTTCGCATAAATGAGCGGCAAAAAAATCCAGTTTTTTTTTATTATAAAAAAAAAGTGTAGATATATTCATCGAGATCTCCTTTATCTTCTATAAATTTCTTGGCATAAAGTATAATACAATTTTCGTGAATAAAAATAATAAAAATTATTATTGTTGTTTACAATATAAATGAACTGCCGTTAGTAAAAACTAAAGAGGCAAAACAATTTCTTTTGATTAGTTTTACATGTTGTTTAATATGTAAAATTTTTATTTAAGGCATATCGCAGGATCATCCGATGTCCTATATCCATATTAAATGCAAAGATAAAGAATTTTTTTATAAAGTTTATTGATGGTCGCATATCTTTTCTAGAAAAAGAAAATAATTATTAATTAATGCAACGTTACATTTAACAATTCTTTCTGATTGTAATCGGAATAAATTTACCAATAGTAGTAGTAATCTATATTAAAATTAATTATATTTCCTAAAATGAATAATAATAATCGATCGCGTAACAATTTTTTTGATTGTATGTCGTTTTTTTTTCGAGTATGTTGATATAGTAATGTAAATATTTTGTTTTTGATTTGTTTCGAAGAAAGAAAATAAAAACAGCTAATAAAATTTATAGCAGTAATATTAACTAGAATATTTTTTAAAGAAAGTTGGAGACCATATCTACCATTGTATTTTGTCAACTTGGTCGTCTTAGTCGACTTTATCACCATACATTCTAAATAACACGCGTAACTATAAATAAATAATTAGGACCCTGAATATCATATTTAGAAGGACTTATCTATCCAATGGAAGTGTCCTCCTTCCTCCATAAATAAAAAAGAGTTTAGGATCCACATAATAAAGTTTGACGCAAATTTACTAATTAAAAAACAATAAAAAGGAACTCCATCTTCCCATATAAAAAAAAATTTTTTTTTTCTTGTCAATTCAGAAATTTGGGACTTGTTACAAAATTATACTAATACCAATGTTTAAATTTTGAATTTGATAGAGATCAACAGGCTATAATTATTTATCTCCCGTGTAACATAGTTTATGCAATTATTTGGGGCAAGAGGTCATCGAGCTGTTGGAAGTAAGTTTTCAAATATTAAATATCTTTTCAGCAAAATTAATTGATTATTTACATGCATATCTATCAACACACTATATCTTTCTTTCTGTTTATCATTAGCAACAGACATGAAAATTATTATTTATGGTGGTCGTAATATTGATGCATCAACTATTTATGATGATTTGTTAGAACTTGATACAACCACACTGACATGGAAAACTATCCAACCTGCAGGAATAGCTATACCACCAGGATTGTTTGGTCATACAATGACATTGGTTGGAACTAATATTATAATTACATATGGTAAATAATTATAATAATTGTCAGAAAATAAATTTATTAGTTTAATTATTTATTAACTTTTTTTAAACAAATTATTACATAGGATTTATGGTGAGTAAAAATATTACTATATCTATTTCATATCTATTTATATATCTATCATATATCTATATAATTTTAAAAATAAAATGTTTTATTTTATATTAGTCAGCTGAAAATTTTAATACAATATCATCAAATATATTTATACTTGATTCCATAACTTATACATGGTTGGAAACATACACACCTAAGATTCCAATACAATCATCAACTTCTATGACACCAGCACCATCACAAACTTCTACAGATACTTCTGCTACATCGTCATCATCATCATCACCATCATCATCATCATCATTATTATCAGATCCAAGTCCTTCAAGTCCTTCTATCTCAACAAATTCTGATAATTCTGGACAAAATGATTTATCATCATTCTTGTCATCACTACTATCATTACCACCATATATTATAGGAATAATTGCTGGATCAGCATTTATATTAGTTTTGTTGATTATTGGTTTAATCATTTATGTGTGTAAAAGGAGACAAAGAAGGCGCAATTCATATTTCACAGCACCTTATGAATCAAATCAATCTCATTCGCCACCATTAACTGGTAATCTACCATTTAATCAATTACCCAACTCTTTAACATCAAACAAAAACACATCAGACCATTCAACATCATCATTACCAATCCCGCCACCACATTTATTACCACCATCTACATTAAAAAAAAAAACTAGTTCTGATTGTAAACTTGCTATTGTTGATTCAAATGATGTTCATCGAAATCCTCTTAGAAGACAATTTAGTGTTGATGATTATCGTGACAATCCTTATCAACCATCACCTTTAACACTACCATCTACATTAAAAAATAAAAATAGTTCTGATAGTAATAAACTCACTATAGATGATCCAAACGATGTTTCTAAAGGAAAATATAGGGTTGATGATTATCCTGGAAATCCTTATCAGCCACGTTCACAATCTCCAATATTTTCTTACCCATCATCTACTTTAAACTACGAAGAAAATAACAATGATAACATTGACAATGATAATTATGATGACAATGATGATAATAACAGCAATGATAATATAACATCATCAAATAATGATGGATCAGATTCATCATATTTGCAAGCCGATAATGATAGACTTAAAGCACCATCTATTGCAACCTCTAGTATATATGCACCTTCATGTTCCAGCAGTACTAAAAGTTCACATATTGGCAGCACACTACCAAAAATTGATACTCAATTGAACTCAATTACTGAATTAGGCAATGTAACTCCTACAAACTTTACAACTACCACCTCTCCAACTTCTGATGTAATTGCTGCTATTAATGCTGTTGCAAAAAAGGATTCACACAGTAGTAATGGGGAAAGCTTCCAAAGTCCATTATTTAGAAATGAAGCTTTAAGTTTACGAACCGCGAGAAGGTTATCTGAAGCAAAACCAAAGAATAATGTTGATCATGATACCAATAAATTATCATCTAAGCTTGAAAAAGAAGACCAATAATGATGTAATTTTATATATTATTTTTTTTTTTTAATTGTATAATTATTTTTTTTAAATTCAGTTTGGGAGGTTAATTTCTTTTGGGAATTTGGGGCATGGCAATAGAAATGGGGTCAACGTCAAAAATCATAATTGAGTTGATACCACATATATGCGTAACTTGTCACAAGAAATAATTTTAGCTTAGAAACTATTCCCACTTAATAAAATTTTGAGAAATTTTCTGTTAGAGTTTTTTTAAAAAATAGTAAACAAGAGATTGACAATAGAAACTACAAAGATCATGGTTTTTGAGTTGACAACATTTATATATGCAATTCATCACGAAAATTAATTTAGTAACCATGCTGACTTGATAAAATTTTGAGATATTTTCCATTAAAGGTTTAAAAAATAAATATTAGAAATGCAGATCTTTTCAATTTTCTCAAAATCGTGATTTTGATGTTGACACCCTTTTTCTATTACCCATGAATTGCAAGGTAAAAAGTATATATTTAAGGAATTATAATAAAAATCAAACGTTAATTTTTATATCATCCATCCTATGGCACAAAAAGGATAATACAATACAATTTTGTGTAAAGGTTGACAATTGACAATTTTTGTGATTCATTCACGTACCACCAATTAAGTTACTTCAAAGTAATACCGTTTTTGAATAGCCGTGAATTCATGTAGAGGAGACCTTTCGGTATGAAAAAGTATTCATTAGAAAGCTTTAATGGAGTACTTTCATTTTAGTCTAACAACGAATTTCGAGTTTATTATAAAAATAACGAGATATTTTAAAAAAAAACTTCATGTGACACGAATTTCGAATTTATTTTCACATATAGAAAAGCAGCCTTAGGGGAATGTCACACGACTGCGCGGAAAATCGAAGAATTATCAAAAAGTGACAACCCCCCAAAAAATTTGATATACAGAGCAAGGAAAACGGTGAATTATTTATACGATCATTCGGCAAAAGATAAAAGCATTAGCCTGTTTTAATTCCAAAGAATAATTAGGAAGTGCTTTTTTCACCAGTTTATAGTAGTATGAAAATCATCAATTGTGTAACATTTGACCAGTGTTGTGCCATTTATGGTTCCAATAAAATTTCATTGGAGCATTCTAATAAATTCCAATTGGAATTGGAACACTCCAAATGTGGTTCCAATGAAGTTAACCAATGAAATTCAATTATAGTGTCATACACACGAATTTTATTGGTTAATATCAATTGAAGATCTACATTGGAACATTCCAATAGCGTTACAATGTTCCAATTGCACAACACTGCATTTGACATTTCAAATATAAAATTTCAATTACGATAAAATTTATTATGCTAAAGAAATTTGATGGTATTTATATATTTATTATAATTATATATGCAATCTTTGACATTTTTTTAAAAAATCACGTTTATTAAATGTTTAACGGCCATATCTAAATAAAAAAAATGAATAAAGTGATATTTGATAAATAAGTATATAATTCAATAGGGAATAAGTTAAATAGGAAAGAAATCTAAATACTTTTGAAATTCCCATTCTCTATTATCTAATGGACAAACTTGTCGAGTCTTAAGCCAACGAGAAATACAATGAAAGTGAAAAGCGTGATTACACATTCCCCAAGCCCTTATATATATATACACATAATATAATTTTTTTATGTGAAAAAATTTGGATTTTTTCTTTTAAAAATTTAAATCAACCTATTAAAAAAAACTTACACTGTACATTCTTCACTGGTAACGGAAGCTTGATTTGCTTGACACTCGATACCTTTCAATTATAATTTATCATAATAAATATTTTAATAATCATTTTCAAGAAAAAATTTCGTCTCAAAAAGAAATGCTTGCTTACATAAATCCATAATATGATTTCTGCATATAGCACAGTTATCAACAACAATATCTTTTTTTTAATAAAAAGAGTTAAAACAAAAAGTTGAGATCACCAAAGAAAATATAAATAAACATCACTAATCACCCCAAGCCCATAAAGCTACTGCATTCCACTAAAAAAGAAACAAATACTTGACTGATTATGCAAGTTTAATAATTAACAAGTTCATTTATAGAATAAATCCTTTATTCATACCTTTTTAACTTCAAAACGGGGTTTTTCTTCATCATCTTTGTATTTTCCAGCACATTTAGAAGATGTGGATTTATCATCAATGTCCATTGAATTATCCACTTCCATTTTGTTGTTTTCTAGTCGTTGTTATTTTTATTTCAAAAAGTAGTAAGTAAATTAGCTTTGACAGTAGATCTTTGTATTTATCACTATATTTATATTTTTGTAGAGTGCTACAATAGATGTATTAGTAAGGAACGTCACTTAAATTCGTTGCAGTATACTATATAAACAAAAGTTCGTTGAGACGATCAGGATCAACAAAAAATTTATCATCTGAAATTTACTAAAATAAAATAATGTGTGGAAATTATTTATTTGAAAAATGATGTGATGCTATTTTGTGTTTGGTTTTTAATTCTTAATATCCCAATTTTCTTTTTAATGATTTAAAAGCTTTATATTCGTTGTGATATATTTCAATATCACCTTGTTGAAGAAAATTATACACTATTTCAAAGACATCAGTAGCAGTATTAATTGAAACTGTAGGAGTTTTAGACCACTTTCGCCAGTTTCTTCTTCAACTGGAATAAATGAAGAAATAGGTTCATTTTCTGTTACCATTTTATTATCTTTCACCCCATTATCGATTGAAATATATTCTTCTGCTGATAATGGCGAAAAAAGGTAATTCATTGATCACAATTTCGATTTCGTTATTTTGATTGTTTAAAATAATTTTTATTATTTATAAAATTTTTTATTTCATCATTGGATAAACCCATCCATCACCCTCCAGATTTTTTTTCCAAAATTAAAAATTGCTGGCGTGACATTACCATTACAATTTTTAAATCATGAAAATAATTGTTTTATCGCAGCCATAACCTTTTTAAATACATAAAATAAATAATTAAAGTCTTTCTAAATTTGAGTAGAGGTAATGTGAAAGACGCAAAAAATTACCGAAGGCTCTGAAAAAAGCTAACGAATTCTTGTATTTCTTTTATTTGCACTTTTAAAAGTTGTAAAACGTGGCTATAAAAAATTATGCTCAAAATAGGTACTGCAGAGATGCAGAATGAATACATACGGGAAAAACGTATTTTTAATACGGAATGCATTAAAAAACGCATTTTGACACGAGATACACACGAGAAATGCAGCTTCCCGTGCTAGTGTGGAATATTTTTGGTCTGGACATAATAAAGGACCATTAAAACGATAATATTCTACATTTCAAGGTATTTTTACAACTTTAAAGCACAACATCTCGAAATATTACTATGGAAATTGAGTGTGGTTTCTAAGCCAAAAATGTTCGTCACATATAGGAGAGGCCAAAATTGCTTTTTTCACGTTATGGCTTTTCTATTGTCCAGGACAGAATGAATACATACGGGAAAAACGTATTTTTAATACGGAATGCATTAAAAAACGCATTTTGACACGAGATACACACGAGAAATGCAGCTTCCCGTGCTAGTGTGGAATATTTTTGGTCTGGACATAATAAAGGACCATTAAAACGATAATATTCTACATTTCAAGGTATTTTTACAACTTTAAAGCACAACATCTCGAAATATTACTATGGAAATTGAGTGTGGTTTCTAAGCCAAAAATGTTCGTCACATATAGGAGAGGCCAAAATTGCTTTTTTCACGTTATGGCTTTTCTATTGTCCAGGACATGCTAATGAAGAATGCATTTTAATACGAAAAAAACACATAATAAAAAAATAGGTAAAATCTATTTTTTTAAAAAAAAAGGATGAAATTAAGTAACAATTGATTGATTAAAAATCAATTTCGAGTCTTCTTTTTAGACATTGTTGTCGTTAAAAAATCTATTTGTTAGTGAAGCAAATTTTTCAGTGAAACAGAAAAATAACCCTTTACATTTTCAAAAGGAGTTTCAATTTCAACAATTGTCATTTGTATTAAGCAATGTAATAATGAAGTCGTTTGAAAAAGCGAATTCAAGGAAACCCTCTTTTCATTAATTATTTTAAAACTAATTTAATAAACCTCCCAAAAAAAATTTTTTTAATAAAAAACGTCTTCCATTTTGTCTTGTATTGGTTGTGCTTATCAAGAGTGCGACTAGAATACAATAATAATATACAACAATTGGTTAAAAATCTACAGTTAGAATTTGGATAAAGTGTAAAAGAATAATAGTAAATATTAATCATCATCTAATTCATTTGCTGAAATCAAATGATGTGATTTATCTTGTAAATAAATCACTTCAAATGGCCAAGAAAGTTTTTGATTAAAGTTGCCATCATAATTATGCTCTCTAAAGATAGAATTGGATATGATTTCAAAATCCAGTACACTAAGTGGCAATAACATGTTTGAATTTCTAATTGACAAAATGGGCATTGAAATAATACAGGTCAACAATATTGCAAATACTAGAACAGTGACCTCTATCCAAAGTCCTGGAGCTGTTATTATTTCTTTCTTATCAACATCAACACTGACATTGTTCATGATGGATTGTATAGATGATGCCAATGATTGTGATATGATATCACCAAACTGATCAAAAAAATTGTAACTGTCATTACTCCTTTTGAATTTGATATCATTTCTCCATATTGTTAACATTGATGTCAATCTATCTACAGCACTATCAAGAAGACTTTCTCCAAACCATTTTCCATTCAGATCACTGTCTTTCACATTGGTAGAAATCAACTCTCTCAATTTTTGTATGGTGTTATTAAATTGCATCTCCAATATTTTTAGATCATCTGGTGTACTTCCAGATATTTGCATTTGTTTCCATTCCATGGTTACATTACATTGCATGGATACTATGCAAAAACGATTAAAATCTTTATCATGTGAATATCCACCATCAGATAACCACTTTGCCATCTTCATAACATTGAGAGGAAAATCGGGGGAAATATAAAACAAATTCATAGATATATCACATCTATCTGATGTACTGACTCTCAAAAACATATCATTCACATAAGAAATTAGACCAATACTTTTAGTTGTGGGAGTATGACCACTATAGCCACCAGTAAACATTCCAGTATTTGTAGGAATATCCGTCACATTCTTCAGATTATCACTACTTACTGCTCCAATTCCATCTCCTATACTTAAAACACAAGATCTTGCATTAACTTTGGCACGCACAGCATACAAAGTATTATTTAAACCCCAATAAGTGTTTTGCACATAATTTTTACGCATAATATCTTGCATTGTAGTGGAATTTGCAACCAATGCAAATTTTTCTTCAGTCAAGTCAGAAGTGCATGATGTGTAAATACAATTCGAATCATTATTAAAGAATGTAACATTAGAAGACACAATGTTGGTAAAATCATACAATCCAATAATCCCAGAGAGCATAATATTTGGTATATTTTTCCCTAATATAATTGCTAGAAATAATAGAAAGATGAATGCAATCATACCCTTGGATAATCTTTTATACCTGAGGTATAAATCCATGAAAAGCTTTAAAATAGAGCCATGTGTAGCCTCCATACACACTTTAAAATCGCTACCATTCATTTTTTGTTTAATTTGGTAAATAAATACCCAGGCCACAGAGACCAACACTGGAAGTGTTATTGCTTCAAATAGTGAAGTAAGCACTACAATCACCTTTAGCAGGCTATTAATAGAAGCAGCATTTTCACCTATCCTTAAAATATGTCTTCCTTGGTCAATAGTCTCAAGTTCCCACATGATTTTAAAATATTTATCAACCTCTCCGAAATGATTTTTAATTATCAAAAGATTAAGAGTTTTATATTATTTGCGATGTTAACTGCGGCAATGCCGGTTATAATTTAAATTTTTTGTTGGATTCAATGGTGCTGCGCCAACCAGCTAAATTTACCGAAATTACGATTAAATCTAATCCAAAACTATCAAAAATTTTCTTTAGTTTGATTGATTGATTGACTAATCGTCGAATTCTGCTAAAACCAACTTTTTTTCAGAAGCTTGGTCTTTAAATACGATCAGTGTGTCACAAGATTTCGTATAACTTTATACAAACAAATAACGTAACTTGATGACCTTTACTATTAATACCAATGCTGTGACCCGATTCTGAAACCTGGAATCTTGACGAAACCTATAAGCGAAAAGAATGATTACTAAAAAAACGAAACTGGGAAAAAACAAATAACTATATTTGGATAGGCACTTTATTATATGTTTCTTGAGGAACATTAAATGTTACTTTTTTAAATCACAATGCAAATCCACATCCTTTTAAACATACTTGAAATCAAGTGTGATGTAAAGTAGACAAATGTTTATAGTAATTTCGCATAAATGAGCGGCAAAAAAATCCAGTTTTTTTTTATTATAAAAAAAAAGTGTAGATATATTCATCGAGATCTCCTTTATCTTCTATAAATTTCTTGGCATAAAGTATAATACAATTTTCGTGAATAAAAATAATAAAAATTATTATTGTTGTTTACAATATAAATGAACTGCCGTTAGTAAAAACTAAAGAGGCAAAACAATTTCTTTTGATTAGTTTTACATGTTGTTTAATATGTAAAATTTTTATTTAAGGCATATCGCAGGATCAT